TCTCTCAGTGCAGTGTTAATGTACTGTAGTGTCCAGTGTGTCTGTATTAACCCCTCTCTCTCAGTGCAGTGTTAATGTACTGTAGTGTCCAGTGTATCTGTATTAACCTCTCTCTCTGTATAGGTATCTCCTGCACAATTTTGATGTTATACCTGATATTTACCTCTCTGTGGCTGCTGTCAGTGCTGTACTTCATCTGGATGGTGATAGATTGGGACACTCCAGAGAGAGGTACCATCACACTGAGACACTGACTACGCAGACGCTTTGGCTCACCGCCTGACTGGCAAATGGAGTCACGGTGTCACCGACACACGCGGTCACTGGCTGTCTGACACACTCATACAGTCACAGAGTGACACAGTGACTGACTGTTGAAACGCAGACTACAGACTGAGATGATCTCAAACTAAAATGTATGTGCAGTGACACACTGATATTTTGACCCAGCGGCCCAGTGACAGAATGTTGTTTTGATACAGTGACAGGGAGGCAATAACATGTGGTGCAATTCCCTGTGTCTCCTGCAGGGGGCAGGAGATCAGACTGGATCAGGAACTGGAGTGTTTGGAAACACATCAGGGATTATTACCCTGTCACGGTGAGAGACACTTTGTCTCACTGTCTCTCTCACAGCCTCAATCCCTGTCTCACTGTGTGTCTCACAGCCTCAATCCCTGACTCACTGTCTGTGTGTCTCACTGTCTCAATCCCCGTCTCACTGTCTGTGTGTCTCACTGCCTCAATCCCCGTCTCACTGTCTGTGTGTCTCACTGTCTCAATCCCTGTCTCACTGTCTGTGTCTCACAGTCTCAATCCCTGTCTCACTGTCTCCCTGTCTGTCGGTTGTCAGCTGGTGAAGACAGCAGAATTAAGCCCCAGTAAAAACTTTGTGTTGGGGTACCACCCACATGGGATCATGTGTGCTGGAGCCTTCTCCTGCTTCAGCACTGAAGGAGCGGGATTCTCGGCAGCGTTCCCAGGAATTCAATCCCACCTCGCCACGCTGGCTGGCCTCTTCCGACTGCCTCTCTACCGAGACTACCTCATGAGTTCTGGTACTGCCCGTCTGCTCTCAGCCTGAGCTTTACACTCAGTGCAGTGTTAATGTACTGTAGTGTCCAGTGTGTCTGTATTAACCCCTCTCTCT